TCCCGAGGTTTGCAGATGCGGTCACTGGGGCTCACAGAGGGGACTGACCTGGCCAGGGTCTCACTGCAAGTTCGCCTGAGAACTAGGGCGTAGTCCAAGGCTGAACCAAAGGGCCTTCTCCCTTTCACATACCCGCAGTGATCCTCTTAAAATCGTTTCTGCCCAGACGCTGCCTCACACTCAAAGGAGGCGTGTCTCCTGGGACAACTGGGCCTCCCCTAAAATCTGGGGCTCTGCCGCAGACACGGTCCCCTGACACGGGCCCGAGGCAGGGATTCGCCGCCGAGGCTCTTTGGCACCTGTAGTCTCAATCTGTCTTTGCTGTCCTATTAAGTCCCTATTCTTGTCAGGAAAAGCTGGGGGGAGGAATGCTTGTGTATCTTGACATGGAGAGCCTTGAATGTCAGGTTGAGTTTAGACTTAGTTTAAGAGACGATTTGGAGGTGGGGCCGCACTCCACCCCTGAGCCCCGCAGCTACTGTGGGAAAGGTTTGAGAGGGTCCGCTGGCTGTCAAAGCTCGCTGTCTCTCTCTCCCCCTCCCCCTCCCCTTCTCTCTCTGTGTTCTTGAATTAATACCATTTTTCTCTCCCCTCCCTTTTTAAAACGGCATAACCATAGTTAAAATTTTGAAATTCCTTAATATCATTAAATATCCGGTAAGTGTTTACTTTTCCTCATTATCTCATAATTTCCTTTTACAGTTTTTCAAGTTCCAACCAAAGTCCATATATTGAAGTTGGTTTGTATGTCTTTTACGTCTCTATCTATTCTCTGTCTTTTAAGTTTATGAGAGGAAAACATGAATAAATTATGATAATCCTAAAACATCTGCTCTGAAGACGCTCTCTTGCTTCAAACCCTCTGAGAGGCCACCTCTTTTCTTACAGGATGGAATGATGTACATTTATTTAACACTGTGTCGGAGGTTCTTAGCAAGTGGACCCAACCACTTTCTCCAGCGTCCTCTCCACACCATCCCTGCACCCCTGCCACCATCCTTTCAGATCCCCTTACCTTCTTCCAGACCTCTTCGTTGCTTTCAGCTCTCTGTCACAACATGTGTCTCCTCTGCCCAGAATTCCCCAATTCTTGTGGTAACTCCGCTCAGCTGAGGGAACTGATGGTTGCTCTGAGCCCAGCTGGGCCCTGGAAGTACCTGATCAGGAAATGACCTCTGCATAAGGTGATCAACACATCTTGCTTTCCTGGTACTGTCCTAGTTTTAAAACTGAAAGTCCCATGTCCCAGGAACTTTATTAGTACCAGGAGAAATGGAACAGTGGTCTCCTTAGCTCTCTGCACCTCAGAAAATGTCATAAGGGAAGCCTGTAAGCGGGCTTCTATATGGAAAAATGGGGTGATACAGGTAATAATAGATACCACTCGTAAAGTAATGGGGTAGGGGAACTGATTGCAATCTTGATTTCATACATTCTATGAGTTTTGACAAATGTATAATGACATGTATCCATCATTACTCTTTACTTTTTTAAATGTGGCTATTAGAAAACTTAAAATTACATATGTGGTTCACTTCGGGGCTCCCATTATATTTCTGTTCTACAGTACTGGTGTGATTATCTTTTATTCTAGACAAAGGTTAATGCTTAGGGATCAGTATGGCACTTTTAAAATGTTACTCAGCAATGATTTTGTCCTGAGTGCAAAAGGATCTTTCTGTATTTTAGATAAATAAAACCCATCAAATCTTTTCATTTGTGTTTATATGGTATCATTTCTCCATCATCTTAGTTTTAACTCCTTACTTTATATTTAAAGTAGGTTTTTCTTTTCTAGTTTCTTTTATTAAAACTTATTTTTTAATTGAGGTACATTGGTTTATAACATTATATAAATTCAGGTGTACATCATTATATTTCAACCTCTGTATAGACTGTCGTGTTCACCATCATAAGTCTAGTTGCCATCTGTCACCGTACACATGTGCCCTTTTACCCCGTCCACCCCCCCTTCCCCTCTGGCAGCCACCAATCTGTTCTGTGTCTATGAGTTTGTTGTTGTGTTTTTTTTTATCTTCCACATACGAGTGAAATCATGCTGTATTTGTCTTTCTCTGTCTCACTTATTTCACTTAACATGATACCCTCAAGGTCTATCCATGTTGTTACAAAGGGCACCATTTTGTCTTTTTTATGGCTGAGTAGTATTCCATTCTCTCTCTCCCTCTCCCTCTCTCTCTCTCTCTCTATATATATACCACTTCTTCTTTATCCATTCATCTGTTGATGGGCACATGGTTGCTTCCACATCTTGGCTATTGTGAATAATGCTGCAATGAACATAGGGATGCATAAATCTCTTTGAATCATTGATTTAATGTTCTTTGGATAAATACCCAGTAGTGGAATAGCTGGATCATATGGTGATATTTATATTTACACTTAATATAAATATATAAAATATAATTTATATTTAAATATATAAATATATATTTATATTTCTTGGTAATTTAAAAAATATTTCATAACCTGTTGCTGGAATATAGAAATGCAGTAGATTTTTCTGGTATATTGATTTAGTGTCTAGGGACCTTGCTAAACTCTCTTTTTAATATTTATATTTCTAAATTATTTTAGATTACCTACATAATAGGCAATAATAACGTCTCTGAATAATGACAATTTTTTCCCTTCCTTCAAAAATGTTAGACTTGTCTCTTTTCCTTTCCCTACTGCATTGGCTGGGACCTCAAGTTTAATGCTGCAAGTTTTTAAAATCATGAATGGGTGTTGTTTTTGAAAAGCTTTTCTTGCTTCACTTGATATGATCGTGTGATTTTTCCCTTTTAGCCTGTTAATATGATAGCTTGCATTGCCTGATCTTTGAATATTGAACCAGCCTTGCATTCAAACTCCCAGCTTGATGAACTCATCCAGAATTGTAACTGGAGTTACATTGTTGCTTTTTTTATCCTCTATGTGTTGTCTAGTAATTCCTCCATATATTAATCTTTGCAAATTTAGTATAAAGAATTAATTAGAATTTATTGGTCTTATGTATTTCGTTGTTCTCCACTGCCTCTTATATACCATATCCATCACATTCTTTCAACTGTTTATTTTTAACTATTTGTTGGGAGAACTTTCTAGATAAAATTTCTTTTGCAGAAAGAGATTATAGGTGTGTGCACTTTCTGTGTTTGCATGTGACAGTGAGTGTCTTTCTAACCCTCATATCTGTGCGATGGTCGGGGTATGTAGAATTCTGGACTCACAACCCATTTCCCTCTGGAACTCTATAAACCTTTTTCTACTGACTTCTACATTTAGGCTGCAGAGCAGCAGGCCAATGGCACTCAGATTCTCATTGCTTATTAGGAACTGTGCTTTTCTTCCTTGGAAAAGTCTGTGGAATTATTTTGGTATGTATGGGAATCAAAACTTATCCTTGGATCTACATAGAGGTGTCTTTTGTGACAATTCTCACCTGGTGATTGATGACACTTTTATGAACAAAATATCTAAAACTTGTGTTCAGTGAAATGGGGTTTTTTTCCTTTTCAATTATTATTTGTCTTTCAGCTGCTCTGTTTTCTCTTCATGAATTCCAAGATGGATCCCCTGGTCTATCTTTCATGCCTCTTATCTTTTCTCAAATAATTTAACTCTCTTTGTCTTTTTTCTTTGAAGTCTAGGAGAGCAATTTAAGCTCTTTTTAATTAAAAAATTCCTTCTTAAGCATTGTTCTTTGTACTTTTAAGTACTTTCTACTGAATTTGATTTGATCAATAACGTGAAATTTTTTTTTCCCTAAGAAAATGTGCTTATCTCCCAGTCATTTTTTTCTCTTAGCCTCTTTTTGTATACTGCTGCTTTTATTGATTTGATAGACTCTTGAATTCCTCTGAGAATACGTCTGAGAATTTTCTTTAACATTTTGACTTCCTGCAATAACTCTTTTTCAGCAAAGGCTGTTTGTTTTGATTGTTAGTTTGTTTCCTCTCTATTGTATTAAACGTTCATGTCAACTAGGAGAGGTTTTCTATTCTGCTCATTCTTTTACCTGGATTTCTAGCTTGATTACTATTGGGAGCTGGCTTGACATTCCTCACCAATCATGTGGGTGATCCTTAGATGTCTCCTGGTGAACATCACCTCCTTCTCCCTCTGACTACTGTGCAGCTTTGGGGATTCCTAGGTAGAAAAGCAAGTGATGGCCACCACTTAGCTTCATGCTTGCTCAAGGCAGGTCAGGTGGTTAATAGAGTTAGTGTGATCCTCCTCAACATCTCTTAGTTTCCACATTACTCTGATGACCTGTGGGAGGCCAAGGCTATCTAGGGGCAGAACCCAGGGGTGAATAACATTTTCAAAAAGGGAAAAGAAAAAAGGCCTGAGCCTTTGGTGCTTGCATCAGTTTTGCCACATCTTCCTCCCTCCCGTCTATGCTCTAAGGGCTTGAATGATTTCCTGGTGGGGACCTTGATTAAGTACACAGGAAAGAGGTTAATTATGGCAACCTAGGGAGGGAACAATCTAGGAAATAGTTTTGAGAATTAATATGACAACAAAAAAATTAATATCACAATAAGAGAAAGAAACAATGAGCATAAAGATAAAAATATTACTATTATTTAATATGGAGCAGGAAAAGTTGAAAGATAATGTAAAAGTAAGGACCCATTCAAATATGTTCAAAGAAAGACACCAAGGAGCAATTGAATTACAGACCTACAGACTAGAGCTTTTTGTTAAACAATAAAACTTGAAGAGTTACTTTTCTTGACATCAATTTGTTCAATATCTATCTCAGAGAAGGAGAACTATAGGGCTAGATGAACAAGAATATACTTTTGTAGAACTGCTTATAGAATGAGGTGGAAAAAAGGCCCATTAAATGCTTACTGTTCACACAGAGCCCTTCTGTATAACTAGATTTACCTATGTAAACTTTGATGAAGTTGGCCCTTCATCTTATCCTCTGAGACCCTCAGGTGAGAGCAACCAGGGAGCATAGAACCTTTAGTACCTCTCCACCATCACTGGGTGAAGTATTTCTGAGCCATTAGGTTCCTCACAGCAGCCTTCACATCCTTGTTCCTCAGGCTGTTGATGATGGGACTGAGCATGGGGGTCATCACCCCATGGAAGAGGGAGGTAAGCTTGTCTGAAAGATCTTCTTTGTCTGCCCTCAGTGGATCCTTGCACTTCAGCTTCCCATACATGGAGAGGATGATCCCATAGAAGACAACCACGACTGTGAGGTGGGCAGACCAGGTGGAGAAGGCCTTTTTCCTCCCCTCAGCTGAGGGGATCCTCAGGATGGTAGCAATGATGAACACATAGGAGAAAGAGAGAACCAGAACTGGGACCCCCAGGAAAATCACACTGACCACAGTCATACTGATCCCATTGATGGAGATGTCAGCACAGGCCAACTTCAGGACAGCCAGGATCTCACAGGTGAAGTGGTCAATGACATTGTCCCCACAGAAGGGCAGCTGAATTGTCAAGGATGTGTGTACCACAGAAGCAGCACCACCAACAGCCCAGGATATGGCAGCCACGGGCACATACGTAGCCTTGCTCATGATCACGGGGTACCTAAGGGGGTTACAGATGGCCAGGTAGTGATCAAATGCCATTATGCCCAGCAGCACACACTCTGTGGCTCTCATAGCAAAGGAGAGAAACATCTGCACGGCACAGGCTGAGATGGTTTTCCTGGGGGTCAGGAAGCTGTCGAGAATGAGGGGGACTGAGGAGGTTGTGTAGCAGATGTCCAGGAAGGAGAGGTTTCCCAGGAAGAAGTACATGGGTGTGTGCAGGCGGGAGTCAAGGGTGGTCACCAGGATGAGGACCCTGTTGCCCAGTAGGATCACCAGGTACCTCAGCAGCATGAGCACAAAGAACGTTTTCTCCAGCTTTGGGTGGGCTGAGAGGCTCAGGAGAATGAACCCCACCACAGGGGAGGTCCAAGTGGCTTCTTTCATGTGACATCCCCTCTTCGTCAGCAAAGCACAAAAGCAGCACATCAGGTTTTCTCGAGAAGAGTCTCAGGCGTGCGGTATGTGGTGAAGTCCTTGCTGCATAACAGCAGAGCATGTGTGTGTAAGAGAAAAATAACTGAGAGAGACAGCAGAGGAGTCCTTAGCTCTTAGATGAGAGA